ACCTTCGTATTCCATCGGGACAGTCAGGAAACAGTGTACTGGTTGCCATTCAGTGAACCCCTTCCATGAGCATGGCACTCATATATGGAGTCCGGACTACAGGTTAAAAGACAAAGTCCTGATTTAAACTGTCTTAAACAACAAACAAAACATGGAGGGAGAATTGCTGGGAAGGGAGTTGAACAGTTTGCCCCTGGGAAGTGTCTCCATAGGCCTTGTCCAACAGCCAAGGCTCAGACCTGGAGTAGTGCCTGCGTCTGTCCCTCCCAGGAGGCCAGCCTCCTTCCTTTGTTGGAGAACCTTGCTGCTGTCTAGCCTAGCCTCATCTTCCAGCTCGCCTTCCCAATTCCAGTTCTGGAAAAATCATAATCGCAGCGTGTGACTGTCTGCTCCTTTAACACAGGACTCTGTAAGAACACTGCGAGAGGGAACCTGCAGGTTTTGGGGTATATTGGGTCAATAATTCCAAAGATTTCATCACCCAACCCCAGGAGTCTTCCTAACAAAAATCTCTGAGAGGAGTACTATTATTTCTGCTCTAGAAATGGTAAAGCTGGGACTCCTGGAGGCCAAGCGGCTTGACAGAGGTCACATGGTTAAAGCCAAGCCTCCAACCTCAGTCTCTGGCTCCAGATCGCTTGCTTTTGTCCAGTACAGCATGTTTCTTTCCCAGGTAATAGAAAAGAAAGGGGAACCAGCAGATAGATGTCAGTGTAAAATAGCAGTGGTGGAAAAATGGTGGGAAATCTGATTTTCTTTCTAGTAACCTTAAATGTTACTACTTTAAGGTTTTTTGTTTTTTTTCAGTTTTTGGTTTTTTGAGACAGGGTTTCTCTGTGTAGCTTTGGAGCTTTTGGAATTCACTCTGTAGACCAGGCTGGCCTCGAACTCACAGAGATCCTCCTGTCTCTGCCTCCTGAGTGCTGGGATTAAAGTCATGCGTCACCACCACCTAGATTTTACAAGATCTTTTAAAAATGAACAGCAGCAACAAATGGTAGGAAATGAGATTTCAGTTTCTGAAGACTGCCTTTGGGTTCACCAGAGAGTGATATAATTCTCTGGTAAAGCTAACTGCCCAGTTAGATGCATCTTCGAGCTAAAGGAGGTACTTAGTGACCAAGAGCATTACCCTTCTGGTCTGCCAAAAAGAAACAGGAAGGGAAGAAAGTAGAGACCTCTGTGCAAGGTCCCTGCTGCTTCTCTTCTGGGCCAGTGACCTGGTCTGGCCAGGATCATGCTCAGAATATACCTCAGGAGGCAGGACACTTGAAAGTCATGGCTATCATGTGTGGTGCACAGAAGCACGAGGATACTGTAATGGCTTTTGCTAAGTCTTGGAAGCAAGCTCAGTGGGTCACTTTGTGTCTCTGAGTACAGATATGGAGTTGCCAAAAGAGGGTCACAGTAGAAATTGCTATGCAGTGATACTCGAGGCTCAGACTGCCACCATACTGCTCCACTCAGAGACAGCAGGCAGAGCAGAAAGGCAGGGTGATGGAAAGCAGACATTTGGGGTGATTGATTCTGTTTTTAATCTGGATCCAATTTGACATGGGAAAGTGCCATATTTAAATGGTGTCCAGGAATGGAGGTAGAATCTTCCAGAGCATTTTCTGATTACCTGTGTCAGATGTGCATGTTAGTGTTTTGTTTTTTGTTTTAAAAAGAATCTTCTCCTTCCATAGGCCTTGCACTTTTCCCAGGTGTGAACTGTTCTTCTGTGGTGCAGTTGACTATTGGAAAGCAGATAGCAAATACTAGGACTAGTTGAGAAGGGACTTACTCTGTAGACTTACTTCTCAGAGGAAACATTTTGACTCTGGAAAATGAATTATATTAACTTTCATGAGCTTCAGTGCATTATTATAACAAGCGAAGGCTGAAAAAATATCTGGCAGACCGTTTATCTTTCTTGAAGTCTGTGAAATATAAGATTGTGTGAGTCTTGTGTCCCTCGGTGGAAGCAGTCTGGAGAGGACAGGACAGGAGCTCCTTAGTGTATAACCTGTCCTTTTAAGGTGTTTGGCTATAATCCCATCAGCATGTCACTGTAACATGCATACCTTAAACATCACAGAATGCCACATGAGCCATGCCCAAAAAGGAAGTCTTTTTTGGCAGTCTGTTGCCTGCAAGGTCTCTGTGGTATTCTGACATCATGACTCAAAAGCATGTTTAGAAGCCTCCAATGAGTTTAGAGTGTACTGATCCCTCCCCTTGGCATCACCTTGGCATTAAACTCGGTTACCCAGGCAAATGCTCCCAATCTAAAGTGTGATGCTGTGAGTGATTTTGAACCACTGCTTGAGGTTGTACCTGAAGTTAATGGGATGGTACACCACAGCACCCTGATGCAGAATAGTCTGAGCGCTGCCATTCAATGCTGACGGTTTTAATTATTTGGCAAAGATTTGTTGGATTTTAGCTGTGCTATAGCTTTGGCTAGATGCTCTTGGTAAAGTGACCATATAACTTATCACCAAGACCAGTTTTATTTGTGTGTGTGTGTGTGTGTGTGTGTGTGTGTGTGTGTGTGTGTGTGTATGAGTGTTTTGCCTACCACCTGGAACTGGAGTTACAGACAGTTGTGAGTTGCCAGGCTAGTGCTGGGAAATGAACTGGGTCCTCTGCAAGAACATCCAGGACTCAACTGCTGAGACATCTCACCAGACCCACCAGGGCTACTTTTGAGAGTGAGAGGAGCTATCCATAATTATACTGAACCACACTATAACCCTCACACTTGAGGGCAGAGGCAGAATCATAGTTTAAGGCCAACTTCAACTGCATAATGAGTCTGTGTCTTACAAATCCAAAGAAGGTGCTGAGAATGTGGCTTAGTTAGTAGAGCATTGCCTGACATGCGTGAGGGACACCCTGGGTTTGATCCCTACAACTGCCTGTTACCACATGTCTGGAGTCCTGGCACTTGAGGCAGCAGGATTAGAAGTTCAAGGTCCTCTTAGGATACATAGTGAGTTCTAGGGAAGCCTGGGCTCCATGATCATGCCCCAACAAAACAATGCAAGCCAGTCTACAATAATAATAGTAACGAGAATAACTTTATCATTGTTACATGATGCAGTCACACAGCGGGACTATCCTAGCTAACCCCAATGGACAGTGCCTGGAGTATTCATGTCCTGGGGTACGTACAACTGGTTTACTATGGAACTAGGCAGACAGCTAGTTCCATAGTAAATCCAGAACTTTATAAAGGTCCTGGGTTTGATTCTTAGCACTGCGAAAACAAACCAAAATTATAGAAACAATGCTCTTCTACAATTATCCCAGGACCCCACAACCCGTTCCCCCCTTCTGAACTATTTACATAGTAGAGTGTGCAAGCAGCTCTCTCTGTGAGAATTCCTCCATTCATTTGCTACTGCTTTTCCACACTTCATCACTCACACAAAAAACTTATCGAAGGTAGTCTGCTGGAGTCCAATGAACTTCTTCCTTCCTTCCCTTCTTTCTTCCTTTTTTTTTAAAGTTCTCCCTAAATAGCTCAGGCTCACTTCCAACTCATGGCAATTCTCCTGCCTCGGACTCCCAAGTACTGAGATTATAGGCATGTACCACCGTGTCTAGCTCAATCAGCTTTTTTTGTACCCATGTGATGTTGTAGCTATCCCTCGCTGGCACTGTGTATGAAAATGAGCAAGTCAGGCTGGGCTCCCAAACCACATTATTTACCTACACAAGTGGCAGAGAAAGCTGGGCCATGGTTGGCCAGCCCAACTTTGTGTCAGCTCCTCACCATGTCAGCACTGTCTGCTGCCCGCTCCCGGTCCCCCATAATCCGCCTTCATCACAGTTTTTAGCATCTTCCCTGTAGCCGGTGGCAGCCCTCTGTCTTAATCCAGTGTAAGGAGTGAGTGCTCTTTTTCACCTTCAACACTGGTGTGGTTTGGGTGTCATCATAGTCCTGTTTATCTGCCGATGATGGTTTCTGTCTTGAAAGTTTGCCACTGCCTTTTCTTCCAGACAGCTGGACTATCTGAGGGCTCGGTTCTCTCCTCCCTTGTCTCGCCTTCCCTCTCCCCTCATACAGGCACCTAATCAGAATGTGCTTGAGTGACTGAAAGAGTGAATGAAATTCTGACTGGCGTGACTGAACAGCTGTGGGTTATCACAAACCACAGAGCCGTGAGCCCTCCACATGTGTAGCTGTAATGCTTTTCCACCTCCCCTCATCGCGGCGATGTGTGGGCGATAACATTTTTCGTGTGTCCCATCCATCTTTGTGGCGGTTTATTTCCTGAGAAACATTTGGCTCACTATAGCTTCAGATGTGCCCTTCTGACTTCATTTTATTGGTTTCTAAGTAGGACACCATAAATGTCTAAGATTTGCCACAACTTTGGAGTCCCCATGCCAGTCCTGATTTTGTTGGTGGCGGTGATTGTTGACACAGTCTTTTAGAGTCGTTTTGTAGATGAGGAAACTGATACCCAGCCAGTGTCCAGAGTTAGCGACTTCTGACTTGGAGCTGCCACTGTTTTCACAGGTGTGAAGGCTCGTGCACATCCTGAGAGACAGCTGTGTGTCCTTTGTCATTAGTAACATGTATAGGAATCACCAAAACAGAGGGACTGGTTTAGTTTTCAATGGAAACTTTATGGCAGGCATGGTAGCATGAGCTTATAGTCCCAGCACTGAGAAAGGCAGAGGCAGAAGGAGGGCTGCAAGTTTGAGGCCAGCCTGGTCTACAGAGAGTTCTGTTTCAACCATGACTACATAGTGAGGCTCTGTCTCAGAAAACCAAAAACTGACTTTAAATTGTATGCTGTAGATTACTAAGTTCTTAGACTTTGCTTGTGCTCATATATGAGGCTTTATCTCCTCCTGTTCTGGTGCAGTGAAACTGTCGGTCGAGAACAATGAATGGAGAGAGTTTCTGGCCAGAACTTTCGGGAGACTGGAATTGATTACAGCAGAGTGACTGGCGCTTACTCTCCTTGCTTCTCCTTTTTAACCTGCTTCTCTTATTCTAGGCTCTCGAAGAGGCCCAGAAAGCCATTCAGCAGCTCTTTGGCAAAATCAAGGATATCAAAGACAAAGCAGAAAAATCAGAACAAATGGTGAGTCAGGTGTCTTCCTTACACGTTTGCACCCGGAGCGGGAAGTTAGTGTCTCTGCCAGTCACAGTAGTTAAAGGCTCTTCCTCCCCCTGCCTGCCAGTAGTGGTCATGCACTCCTCTCTGTGAGTACATCCCCGACTGCCTCAGAGGAGCTGCGAGACAGGGGTGACTCACCGGCCTTGCTGCCCTACATTTGCAGCCGCTTCTTCAAATAGGAAACAACCCCCCCCCCCCCACACACACACACACACAAATAGTTTCCTAGTCATTTTGGATGCCTTACTCTAGCATATTTCTGGCTTGTTGTTTCCCAGTTAAGATAGCTGAGATGTAATCTGGTAAGTAGCTCACTAACAGTGGTCGAGGGTCTAGGGTGGGGGTACCATACCCAGGATACATGCACACAGTTTTCCTACTCTCTGAATTTGTAGGGGATGTGCTCAGAAGGGACCCTGCTGACCAGGAACCCAGCCTTAACCACAGCTGCTCCTCAGGAGCCACCAGGCTGCACTGGGTTTCTGGGCTGAGAGTCTAAGTCATGTGATGCATCTAAATGACAGCTTCCTCAACTATGAAATAATAAAAACGTCTCCCTCACAGGATCTCAGAGCAGAACACCTATTTTCTCTGGAGTACAATACTCAGCACCAAGCAGTGTGATCATCAAGTGACACTAGCAAAGATGACATTTGCTAGAGTTCGTTGTACTTAATTTTGTTTATTTTGAGATGGGGTTTTTCTGTGTAGACCAGGCTGGCCTCAAACTCACAGAGATCCACTTGCCTCTGCCTCTCAAACACTCAGTGGTTACACTCAGCTTTTATGCTCAGCAATAACGCTATGATTTTAAGCTGCTGTTCTGGACCCTCTTCCAGCCAAGTGGGACACAATGATAGGGGAATTAGTACTTGGCAAAATCTCTCAAGGTGCCAAGCACAATGCCCGAAGCTTCTCTGGTGAATCCACTTCCCCTGACTGGAAGACACTTGCGTTCCCACATCATGCTCCATTCTCTCGGGTCTGCCAGGACAATTGGCAGCTTTTGCTCCCCAGGCTGCCCTTCTCCTCTTAGGAGGTTACACGTTAAGCTTATCAAAAGCACTGGACTTTTTTTTTTTTAATGTGAGTCAGTCTTTTTTTGGCTGGAGATCAGGAATAAACTATAGCTTCATTAATAAAGACTGCCTCAATGCAGCCAGCTGAGCCCAGCCAGCACCTGTAGTGGCAGAAGACGACACACTTACTGTGGAGGGATGTGCTGGACTTGACTCCACCCTATCCTCAATGCTGTGCTCCATCAAGAGCAAAAAATAAAGTAAACTTCTTTCTTTGAGGGTTTTGTGACCCTAGGTATGAAATCTGAAGAGATGCCAAATTTAAAAACACAAAAGCTAAACGAAAACCATTTGAGACAGGTTTTGCTAGGTAATCCAAACTGGCCTTAAACTCAGTGTGTAGCCCAGGCTGTCAGTGAACTTGTGATCATCATGGCTGAGCCTCTCAAGTGGTAGGTAGGATTATAGACGTGGCCACCACATCCAGCCCAAAAGAATGACTTTAAGAAAGGAAGGGCTCACTTACATGGTAGATTAGACCAAAAGGACAGCTGGGTACAGTGGTACATGCCTATATTCCCAGCACTTGGGAAGTAGAGGCAGGAAGATTGACACAAATCAGGGCCAGCCTGGTCTACATAGCAAGTTCAAGGACAGCCAGAGCTACATAGTGAGACCTTGTCTCAATAAAAAGAAAGAAAGAAAGAAGCTGAGGACTGGAGACATGGCTCAGCAGTAAGAACACTTGCTGCTCTTGCAGGGGCCCTGGTTTGGTTCCCAGCACCCACATCAGGCTCCTTACAACTGTCTTAGCTCCAGCTCCAGGGACCCAGTACCTCTTCCTGCCTCTGTGGCTCCAGTACACACATATTCACATAAAACAAGAAAAATAAATCTCTTCTTTTTTGCTCTTTTCCCCTTTAAAGACAGGGTCTCTCTACCTAGACCTCTCTGTCCTGAAACTTACTCTGTAAAACAGGCTGGCCTTGAACTCACAGAGATCTGCCTGCCTCTGCCTTGTAAGTACTGGGATTAAAGGTGTGCATGCATCACCACACCCAGCCCCAAAATATATCTTTAAAAAAGAGAAACAAGCAAAGAAAACCTGAAAGGAGCTAATTATTGTAAATTATTTTAGTTTTATATTGTGAGAGTATTCTTATTTTTTCTAGGGGCTAACCTGAGGTTATTTCAAATGATTTTATGTGTATGATTTTCTTGTGGAGTGACTCGAAGGTGGGTTTACAGCTTTCTTACCTTTCCCTGTTTTCAATGTGTAGGTAAAGGAAATCACCCGAGATATTAAGCAGTTAGACCATGCCAAGCGCCACCTGACCACCTCAATCACGACACTGAACCACCTGCATATGCTGGCCGGTGGGGTCGACTCCCTGGAGTAAGTAAGCAGAGTGAACTTTCTCAGGGAACCCATGGGAAATGTTCCACAGAAGGAGAGTGACTTCATGGAGTTATTCATTTCCCAGCCAGGCTAGCCTCACCATCCTGCCCCACTTTTGGAACATTGACCACAAGTGTTCTGTCACTTTTGGTGTTCAAAACTTAAGAAAGGAGCTGGGATGTAGCCCAGTGGCAGAGTGCCTACTTGACATGCCCAAAGCCCTGGGTCCCATCCCCAGTACTGCAGAAGACAACAGACATCTGCCTTAATAAGAAAATGATGGACAGATGACCTGAGGAGGCCACAGAAAGCCCATGAGAATGACCCTGAGAAGTGGGTCGTTTGGTGTGGTAGATCTAGACCAGTCAGTCAGACAGTGATTCAGCTCAGTCACTCCCCAAGGCCTCTGCCTTGGCAGCTGCTGCTCCTTCTCTTGGGCTGAATTGCACCTCACCAAAGAGACCATTTGTAAACAAATCTTTGATGTATCATTCAACCCACTTTTTTTCTAAAACCCATGTTTTCAAGATTGTAGCTTTCTGTTTAACACATTTAGAAACAGTATTAAAAGAAGTTGCTGGTTGTTTACCACAGAATAGTGTGATTCAAAGCCTCCTTCTCTAGCACCGGAGCTCCTGTCTGGTGGGGGGGGGTGTCCAAAGCCTCCTTCTCTAGCACCCCAGCTCCTGTCTGGTGGGGGGGTGTCCAAAGCCTCCTTCTCTAGCACCCCAGCTCCTGTCTGGTGGGGGGGGTGTTCAAAGCCTCCTTCTCTAGCACCCGAGCTCCTGTCTGGGGTGGGGGGGTGTCCAAAGCCACCTTCTCTAGCACCCGAGCTCCTGTCTGGTGGGGGAATGTCCAAAGCCTCCTTCTCTAGCTCTCAAGCTCCTGTCTGGGGTGTGTGGGGTGTCCAAAGCCTCCTTCTCTAGCCCCCGAGCTCCTGTCTGGGGTGTGGGGTGTGGGGGTGGTCAGACTGATTCCCCTCCCCTAGTCCTAGTGCAATTTCACATGTGGACAGACCAGCCATCTTCATAGAAATGCAGATGTGGCAGGAATGGAGGATACCCAGAAGGAAGGAGGAGGGGCTACATCATTCCTAGCCTCTATTGGGTCTACCATGGGTAACAGAGTCCCTGGTCCATTGCAGGAGTGATCACCCAGGGCGGGCAGCCAGTGGGACTGGAAGAACTATCCTCCTCCTTCCTTCTGGGTGTTAGCAGGTAGACATGGCAGTGGAGCACCGTGGCTTGAACTTGAGCCTTTCCTCAAAATGTCTCGTAAGGGAAGTCATGAATTACACATTTAATGTGAAAGCCAACCCCAGTGGAAGATTCAGACCTGATAGTTTGTACTTCACTGCCATGTGTAACTGTTGATTTTATCAGCATCTTTTACTTAAGCTTCATATTGCCCTTAGCAGTAGGGCAAGTCGACATCTCTGATGCAGTTCTTTATCATTGGCTTAAAACTACAGATTGCAGTTAACGTGAAATCACAGTCATCCTCTTTTGTATTCTAGAAAAATGGTTTTGTTCTCCTGTGCACCATAATCCTCAGTGACATTTTATACAACGGTCTCTTAAAATGCAATGCCCACCCAAACCCATAGTCTGCCCAGAGTCCCCTCCTGCCACCTGATCCATCCAGCACACACATTCTTTTGTGCCCTGGGGCATGTAACTTACATTGCTATTTAGAACTTAATTCACTTCTTAATCCTTGCTGTTAGTTAACCACTTACTCGACTCTCTCTTACTGAATGATGTCACCTGGAGAGTGAGCTAAATCCTTAGGCTTTTCCTTCCCCAGTGCTCAGCACCGTACCTATCCAGCACTTGTTTTAGAGCTATCGAGGTCATCCCACATCTCTATCTGTGTCTTCAGTGTTTGGTTTCTAGTCTCAACTTCTGTCCTTGCAGAGCCATGACCAGGCGCAGACAGTACGGAGAAGTTGCTAATCTCCTTCAGGGCGTCATGAATGTTCTGGAGCACTTTCACAAGTACATGGGGATCCCACAGATCCGGCAGCTTTCTGAAAGGTAAGATGTCCTCACAGACACTTTCCATAAGAAAAGATGGTTCCATATATTTCCCCCTTAGTCTAGGAAGCAGCCTCAAATGTTATGTGACCTCACTCTACGATACCCTTTCCCTTGCCTTTGGAGGCTGCCTGAGTCAGCAAGTACACTCATATGTCTGTTAGTATGCACAGCTCTCCATTGTCCACAGAACTTGTTGGCCTAAGGCAGTTATTTTGCTCATGAAACTTGCCCAGGCTTGGATAATAATGCGTTCATGCACCATCAGTTGAGTTAGCTGATGACGGACCCGAGCAGCCATTGGCTGCTATGGCTGGCACATGGTGTTCACTGTCAGCTGGGAGCTCAGCCAGGCTATGGACTGCGATCCCTGTTGCTCTCATGGGCTACTCAGGCTTTCTCAAAGTGAGACAGCTGGGGTCTAAGATGAGCGCATCAAGAGACTTGGCCTCTGAAGTCACGTGCCATCACAAAACCGTTGAGATTCAAGAGGAAAAAAGCATGTTTTCCCCCTTTTCTCTCTGATGAGAGGAATGTCAAAGGCACATTTGTAGCTTAAGTTTTCCTGCCTGGCCCACAGTCAGGACAAATCTCTCTCACCTGCCAGTCCCACAGCCGCTCAAACCTGACCAAGTAAACACAGAGACTTATATTGGTTACAAACTGTATGGCCATGGCAGGCTTCTTGCTAACTGTTCTTACAGCTTAAATTAATCCATTTCTATTAATCTATACCTTGCCACGTGGCTCGTGGCTTACTGGTATCTTCACATGCTGTTTGTCATTGTGGCGGCTGGCAGTGTCTCTCTGACTCAGCCTTCCACTTCCCAGGTTTATTCTCCTCCTTGTCCCGCCTATACTTGCTGCCTAGCCAATGGCCAATCAGTGTTTTATTTACTGACTAATCAGCAACACATTTGCCATACAGAACATCCCACAGCACACATTGGTGAAAGCAATATGTGGGATGGGTGGATGCTGTAGCAGTTTTTAGACAGTACACTGTGTTGTCACCAGAACGTCACACATCACAGTGATGAGTTTCTTTCCGAACTTGTTCTTTCTTCTCACCATCCTGGAGGTTTCCCTAGAATTTCTTTTATTTTCTTATTTATATTTTATGTCTATGAGTTTTTTGCCTGTACATACATATATGCACCATGTCTGTGGGCCACACATGTGCCTGGTGTCCGTGGATGTCAGAAAGAGGCATCAGATCCCATAGAACTGGAATTACAGATGTTTGTGAACCAGGGTACTGGGATGGAACCTGAGTCCTCTGCAAGAGCAGTAAGTGCTCTTATCCGATGGCCATCTCTCTGGTCTCTGCCTTAAGTTCTGATCCCAGATTCAGATCCAGTGGAAAGAGAGAGATTCTTAGGAGGAGGAGACTTCTGGAGAAGGAGGGACAGTGAGTTCAGTGCTCTTTGGCCCCTCCTGAAGAGGGACATCAGGAAGCAGAGGCAGGGGTAGGAGGCAGCCCCAGCAGCACTGTTTCCATCCTGCCCTCTTAGGAAGGCCTGCTGTCACGTATTTCTGTCCTCTCATGTTTCTTTATCTAATTATACAAGTAATATAAATGTGCGATTTCTTTTATTTAAAAAGTCTAAACTAGCCGTGTGGCGGCGGGTGGCGCATGACTTTAATCCCAACACTCGGGAGGCAGAGGCAGGGGGAGGATCTCTGTGAGTTTGAGGCCAGCCTGGTCTACAGAGTGAGTTCCAGGACAGGCTCCAAAGCTACAGAGAAACCCTGTCTTGAAAAACAAAACAGTCTAAACTAGATGTGTGTGGCTCACAGCTATAGTCCAGTACTCAGACAGTTGAGCTAGAGGACTGACCTGAGTTTGAGGCCAGCCTAGGCTTCAGAGTGAGAACCTCTTTCAAAATACTAACAAAGAAAAAGACAAAAAGTAACAAACAGGTGTGTGTAAATTCCCTTAGCTTCATTTGAACCCTATTGCGGTGCTTTAAGGAGGAACTGCTACAGCTTATTGGCTTTCCCTTCAGATTGTCACTGCGCACTGACTACACTGTGTTTGTGGAGCTGCCTCATGCCATGTCTGGACTGCCATGGGAGAGCACATCCCAGACTAGTTTGCTATTTCCATGTCCCTGGACTCCTTCTTCTGATTCTCAAAAAATACCTCCTTTCACACATGTGCAAGTAGAGTAAATTCTAGGTCCTAAGGTTATATGCATTTAAAATTTTAATAACCACAGCTCATTTACTCTCCAAAAAAGCTTAAGAGATTCACAGTGCCATCTGGAAGTGCTTGAGTACCTGTTTCTCCAACCTTCAACAAATTAGGCATTGTTGGTTTTCATTTTATTTACTCTGTTGATGAAAGTCACTACTTGCCCCCTTTAATTTTAATTTCCTCAATAATTGGTGATTACTATATTTTCTCTGTGAAGTATCTTTTTTGTTGTTGTTTTGGTTTGGTTTTGAAACTTGGTCTCGCTATGCAGTCCTGGCTGCCTGGAGCCCGCTCTGTAGACCAGGCTGGACTTGAACTCAAGAGATCTGTCTGCCTCTGCCTCCTGAGTGCTGAGGTTAAAGGCATGCGCCACCACTCGTAACTCAGAATCCTTGAGTTCTGATAAACTGTTTTCTTTCATTTCTTCCCTGGAGTGATCTTGTGATGTGTTTCCTCTGCTCTGTCTTTGTGGAACTCTCTACTACATGGCCATTGTAACTTGTAGTCTGCGGTGCACGGCTTCTTTCTAATTCTCTGCCTGGTCCTTTGGGGCTGCCTTCTGGATCATTGGCTCTGTCTTCCTCTTCTACCTTGGCCTTCACTGGTGCCCATTCTGTTCTTTGGCCAAACTGTCACACTTTTTATCTAACAAGACAGTTTTTAATTTCCATCTAGATGATTCTTTCCTCAGGGGCATAATAATATCCTCTGTAATCACTAGAGATTCAGAACTCTAAATATCTCTGAAGGCTCTGAGTTGCTGTGTGTCTGTCTGTCCTGTGGTGTAAGGTCTTAGTTTATTGACTCTCTTGATAGTAGCACTCTTCAGATGTTTGGTGATTCTCAGCTGAAAGCTTATATTTTTGGTGGGATTTTTGAATTTTATTCATTCATTCATTTATTGGTTTTTCAAGACAGGGTTTCTCTGTGTAACAGCCCTCACTATCCTGGAACTCTTTTTGTAGACCAGGCTGGCCTCGAACTGACAGAGATCCACCTGCCTCTGCCTCCTGAGTGCTGGGTTTACAGGCATGTGCCACCTCTTCTCGGCTTTTTTTTTTTTTTTTTTCTTATGTTCTTGTTACTCTGATCAGAAATCACTGCCATCTGCTATTAGGGAGAGGAGGGATGTTCTGCTTAACAGAACACAACTCTTCTAAGGTTCCAGGGGCCAAACCTGCAGGAGCAGGCAGTTGGTATGCCAGAGGCCGGATCTTCTTAAATAGTTTAACCCTTGGCCCCCTGCTGAGGCCCACAGACTCAAGGGGCCAAATCAGTGTCTGAGCACTTAGGGTAAGGATGCAGACACAGCTCCTGGCATCCACAGTACTGTGATTTGAGCCAAGGAGATACTTCTAGAGCTTGCCTTCAGAACTCCCTCCTGCTCCTGGTATCTACCACTTCTTGTCCTTATATTTTCTTTTGTTTTAGATATGCTTTTTTCATTTTGTGTGTGTGAGTATTTTGCCTGTATCTATGTATGTGCACTATGTGTGTGCCTGGTATCTGTGTTGATCAGCAGAGGGCTTTGAATCCCCTGGAATTAGTCACATAGGCAGTTGTGAGCCACCATGTGGATGCCAGGAACTGAACCCAGGTCCTCTGCAAGAGCAACAAAATGTGCTTACCTGCTGAGCATCTCTCCAGCCTCTGTGTCTTTTCATTTTTGAGAAGCATCCTTAGGCTTTGATTTTTTTCTTTAGTCTTATTCTGCCAGGAAACCCACAGACTATCTAGTCTGTTGACCCCTTTCTTGCCTGGCTTTTGACTCTTATTAGATCTTTCCATAATTTCTAAGAATATGAAGCAGGAAGGGAGGTTGCTGCATGTGCTGGTATACCGTCTTACAGTGGAGATGTCCAGGGATTGTTAAGGAATGTCGGAACAGGTTTGGCAAAGTGCTGGGGAAATCGCCACCCTTCCCTTGTCCTTCCTAACCCTTTACACTTAGAGGTGGCTGGTTGCCATATCAGACTGGGAATGTGAACAGCCAAGAATGCCCACGAGCAGGACTTCATGAGCCTAGGAAAGAAGGACCGCGGGTGGAGGAAGCAGGCCTGCCCTCAGTGGGTAGGGAGGAGCAGGAGGTAGCACAGGCTGCTCTAGTCTTGGGGTGACTCAGTGATCTGTTGCCCTTCTTTTGTTTTTCTCTCATCTACCTAGCAGACATGTACTGTGTGCCTTCTGTAGCCTAGGCCCTGCAGATGCTAAGCACGTGCTCTTCCACTGAGCTACAGCCCCAACCCTATCACCCCCTCTTCCGATTTTCTGATCTGTAGTTAGATTAACATGGCAGTTCAGGCCCTCAGACACTGAGAGCAGCTGCATTTGACTTTAGATTTTAAGAGTCTGCACCTAAGAGAGATCACACCATATTTATCTTTGTGTGTCTGGTTTATTTCATCTACTCTTAAGTCCTTCAGGTTTATCCATATTGTTGCAGATGTCAGCATCTTCTTTTTAAAAGCAGGATAAAATCCCACCGCATATACGCACTATGGTTCTTTAACCCATATCTGTCCATCAGAAGACACGTTTGGTTCTGTATCTGGCCTGTTGCAAACCTTCTGCTGTGAGCAGGGCAGGGCAGCTGTCTGTAAAGAGTGTGGAGCTCATCTCCTTGGATAGACAACCTGTGTAGATTCGTGGGGAGTTTTTGAGAACTTCATATCATTTTCATAATAGCCTCACCAATTAACATCTCTACCAGTGGTATTCAAGTATTCTCATCCCACACCCTCACCAACACTCACCATTTCTCCTTTTGAGAGTAGTCATCCTGGTGATCTGTAATCTCAGG